TATCAATCATTATTTGACTCGAATCAATCACACTGATGGAAACGTGTGTCACAGGTGGATTTTGGAGATGTCGTGACCTTTGACTTTCTAAAGAGAGTCAGCTGTGGATTATTCATTGTTGTGTCTGATACTTAGAACTGTGAGGAAGAATGGTACACAGTTAATCGGGGTACCCTCTATCTGAATTAGGAAACGTCGGCAGGCCGCGTGTGGGCCACGGGCCATACGCTGAGTATCACTGTTTGAAATGTGAACATTGTTCTGCTACAATCAATGGACTAAACCAGAGAAGAAGTAAACAGACTTTACAATGAAGATCCTCAGTGTGGATCAGTATAATATCAGCCTTGTGTCTGCAGTTTAGTGTCAGCACAACTTTCACATCATATTCATCTCAGCACAACTAAAACATGGTGACTGACCTCAGAGTTTTGAGTCCACATCCTGAACTCTCCAGAAAACCACACAGCTGTTTCACTCCTGAATCCTGCAGGTTGTTGGAGTTCAGGTCCAGCTCTCTCAGATGGGAGGGGTTGGACTTCAGTGCTGCTGCCAGATAATCACAGCTGATCTCTGACAAACCACAGCTCCCCAATCTGTATAAAGAATGAAAGATGTAAGTTTATTAGACAAAGTGTGTGCTTGAAATCATGCAGTTTCATAATCTTTTCAGAGCTGAAGAAGGTTAAGAATGTAGAAGTTTAGAAAATGGAAACTCCAAACAGCTGAAGCCAACAGGAAGCAACTTTAAAAAACAAGAGAAAAAAGCTCTGAATTTTTTACATTAAAGTTGTACATTTATCATAAAAAACATGAAAAAGTCATGTTATTTCATTCCAGGAACCCCATGTCTTTTAAAGGTGAAGTTGGAAAGAAATGGAGATATTTGAAGTCCATCACCTTTTTTCAGTCACATTATTAAAGCAGACAAACTACAAGCTCATTTTCATTCCAATAAGTCATCTTCTGACCTGGACTAACAACACTGGCCTCAACTGTGTTTAATATTTAGGCACGTAGATTATTTATGTGCTTCAGCTCTTCTTAAATTTTACCACCAACACGTTTCAGAAGGAGCAGCTTTTAATTTGAAGGCTAGCTGTCTGTGTTTCCTGTTTTCATTGTTCTTCAGTGCATTAAATTGTGTTACACAAAAATAAGAAAAGCAAAGTTTTCACGTTGTTTAGGCAGAATCGAGCGTTGAAGAATGAATTCACACGTCAATAAACATTTTCATCAGCACAAGCAGGAAATAGCCCAAAACTGCTATTTCTCATTCTACAATTTCAACAACTGCACATGAATTATACTTCATACACAGACCCACAGTCTCTGATTGCTCTGAAATCTCACTTACAGCTAATGGAAATAAAGAAAAGTCCAGACTGACAGTTTGCTGTCCTTGCCCTGAGTTTCCACGTTTTCACCAGCTAGACAGTGAGATAACGATGATTCAATATCCAGACTTATTTTCCTTTCTGTGCTCATTTTTTAAAGACCGGCCTCTCACCGTGGCTCTCTCTTTGACCATCGTAAAACTGAAAGCATACGAAATATTGTGTTAGCTAACCAACATTGCAAACTAGCTTGTTACACGCTTATTGCAAGCTAACAAGATAAAACATTCATCTTAATCATAAAAATTATCATTAAGCAAAACAAATAAAATTATGATTTTATCATCATTCATACTGATGGACAAATGTCATCCAAAACTACAACAATTTAAGGTTCATATGAGCTTAAAACAATAATACTTCAGCATCACAGTGAGCCATCTTGGATTTTTCTTTTTTCTAAAGTAACCAAAAAAATATTACAAAGCAGCCACTAGAGGGCAGTTTACAAAACTGTATAATCCATCTTAATTTTTAAAAGACAGAACCAATGACTGTATAAAAGATGGACAACGCGACACCACCTCCTCCCATTGTGTAAAAATAAAGCCAAAATACCCCGCTTGTGGAGGCTGCCATCTTGCATTTTTTGAGCCAGAGTCTGCGCAGTAGTGACTTGAGGTGGAGCAACTGTGTAACGCTCCCGCCCACACACCCGCTAGACGTGACCGCAAACACACCCCCCTACACTTTTTACGTAGCCCGGCTCCTCTAGTTTTTTGCTGGTTTACCGCGTTCCCCTGGCGTTTAGTGGCGTTCCCCCAGACAAGCTAGAGGAGGCGGCTGGGGAGAGGGAGGTCTGGGCTTCTCTGCTTAGGCTGCTGCCCGTCTGACCCAGCCCCGGATAAGTGGAAGAAGATGGATGGATGGAACAAATAGCCTGCTCATTGGTGTGTCAAACAAAACATGCCACAGAAAACATGAACCGAACAATACTTCTCTTTTACAAAATATGTGACTGTAAAAACTTTCAGACAGTAATTAAGAACCTCATAAGCCCTCCAAAGATAAATAAAAGGTGAAAGGACTGGTTCTTATATAGCTCTTTTATACTCCATTTGAGCACTCAAAGCACTTTATACAACTCGTTCATTCACCCAATCACACCCATTCACAAAAGAACATTATCTAAGCTGTTTTAGTGCTTCATGCACATTCACAGTGCATCGGAGAGCAACATTCTGGATTGTAGCTGACCTGCTCTACCACCTGAGCTACAGCCACCCCGGTCAAAGGTCACTCGCTAATTCTACAAAGCTTGGTTGTTTATTGTTTAATATCATTCAGACCTTAAATGATAAGCAGTGGGAACGTTTGGATCCTGACCTGAGAGTTTCCAGTGTACAATGTGAACTCTGTAGCGCAGCAGACAGAAACTTCATGCCTGAATCCTGCAGGTCATTGTTAGTCAGGTCCAGCTCTTTCAGAAAAGAGGACATGGAGCTGAGAACTGAGGACAGAGCATCACAGCTTCTCTCTGAGAGGTTACAGCCACTTAGTCTGTAAAACAAACAAATTAATTAAATCAGTCAAATGAATTTTTAAAATGCCACCATGCAATACAATTACTGGTTGACTAAATAGCTTCATTAAAACACAGCTGTCCTTCTATCAGCACTTACTCCTTGTAAGCTTCACCTCCTCCACCTTGTAATTCAGAGGACATTAACATAAACTGTAAATCTAGTATAAACATAATTTCTGAGTCATGTTTGGAAATGTAATCTTCTCTGATCCATTTGCATAGTTTAGAGCCTGATACTGAAATATATCTGTGGACAGCACGGACATTCAAAGCAGCAAAGATCACAGAAGACGACTCTGTTCAATAAATATTACACTCATGCTGTCAAGAAAGACCAAAGGTAGGTAAAACTCTGGTTGTTGCAGCCATCCAGTAAGACATGCTTTGTATTTGCTGTTGTGCTGTAGTTTGTGACACCTGGTGGATGAGTTGTGAAGGATGATGAAAAGAAGATTCAAACCCAGGCCCTGGAGTCACAACTCTAACCTTCAGTACATCGGTCACCTGCTCAGCCAGTTAAGCTATAGCAGCAGTCAGTGTGTGAGTTAATTTGAAGACAATGATGAGAATAGCTATAAGTCAGGGGAAAAAACAATATATTTGTGACCAAAAATAGACCTGCAGTAGACATGTATCTAAAAGCATGCATGTGAATATAAGGTATTACAACATTTGGCAGTTTTTAAACAAAGACTGATAACACAACAGCAGCACTGATGATCATAGTTTATGGTAGACTCAGCGTTTCGAGTACACAGAGTTCTTGAGCCATCAAAGAGGTTACAGTTGTATAGGAGTAATCCCAAACTTTAGGATACAAATTCATACAAAGACAGAAAGCCTGGTGAAATAAGTTACTGACACAGTTGGATGTTTGAAGTAAAACATGAGTACAAATGTACTTACAGAGCTTTGTTGGAGGTTTTGAACACTGGCAGCAGCCTCAGAAGAGCCTCCTCCGAAGGTGAGTATTTCTTCAAGTCAAGCACATCCAGATCTTTTTCTGATGATAGTAAGATGAAGACCAGAGCTGACCACTCAGCAGGAGACAGTTCATCTTCGGAGAGACTTCCTGATCTCAGGGACTGTTGGATCTCCTCCACTAGAGAACGATCATTCAGTTCATTCAGACAGTGGAACAGATTGATGCTTTTCTCTGCAGACAGATTCCGATTCTTACTGAGCTTCTTCTTGATGTACTGGACTGTTTGTTGATTGGTCTGTGAGCTACTTCCTGTCTGTGTCAGCAGGCCTCGTAGGAGAGTCTGATTGGTCTGCAGTGAAAGACCCAGGAGGAAGCGGAGGAACAAGTCCAGGTGTCCATTTGGACTCTGTAAGGCCTTGTTCACAGCACTCTGGTAGAAGTATTTCTCTGTTTTTGTTTCAGATTTCTTGGAGGTTGTTTGTTGGTCTTCCATCAGATTAAGTCCAGAGTTGATGAAGGTCAGATGAACATGAAGAGCAGCCAGAAACTCCTGAACACTCAGATGGATGAAGCAGAACACCTTGTCCTGGTACAGTCCTCTCTCCTCTTTAAAGATCTGTGTGAACACTCCTGAGTACACTGAGGCTGCTCTGATATCGATGCCACACTCTGTCAGGTCTGATTCATAGAAGATCAGGTTTCCTTTCATCAGCTGATCAAAAGCCAGTTTCCCTAGAGACTCCATCATGTTCCTGCTCTCTGGACTCCAGTGTGGATCTGTCTCAGCTTCTCCATCATACTTGACCTTCTTCACTTTGGCCTGAACCACCAGGAAGTGGCTGTACATCTCAGTCAGGGTCTTGGGCAGCTGTACTCCCTCTTTGGTATTCAGCACATCCTCCAGAACTGTAGCAGTAATCCAGCAAAAGACTGGGATGTGGCACATGATGTGGAGGCTCCGTGATGTCTTGATGTGGGAGATGATCGTGCTGGCCTGCTCCTTATCTCTGAATCTCTTCCTGAAGTATTTTTTCTTCTGTGGGTCAGTGAACCCTCTGACCTCTGTCACCATTTCAACACACCTAGGAGGGATCTGATTAGCTGCTGCAGGTCGTGTGGTTATCCAGAGGTGAGCAGAGGGAAGCAGTTTCCCCCTGATGAGGTTTACCAGCAGCACATCTACTGAGGTGGACTTTCTAGGGTCAGTTAGGATTGTAGTTTTGTGGAAGTCCAGAGGAAGTCGACACTCATCCAGACCATCAAAGATGAACACAACCTGGAAGTCTTCAAAGCTGCAGATTCCTGCTTTTTTGGTTTCAGTAAAGAAGTAATGAACAAGTTCCACCAAGCTGAACCTTTCCTCTCTCAGCACATTCAGCTCTCTGAAAGTGAATGGAAATATGAACTGGATGTCCTGGTTGGCTTTGTCTTCAGCCCAGTCGAGGGTGTATTTCTGTGTTAATACCGTTTTCCCAATGCCAGCCACTCCCTTTGTCAGCACTGTTCTGATTGGTTCATCTCTTCCAGGTGAGGCTTTAAAGATGTCTTCTCGTCGGATTGTTGTTTCTGGTCTGTCTGTTTTCCTGGATGCTATTTCAATCTGTCTAACCTCATGTTCATCATTGACCTCTGCAGTCCCTCCCTCTGTGATGTAAAGCTCTGTGTAGATCTGATTCAGAAGGGTTGGGTTTCCTGCTTTAGCGATCCCCTCAAACACACACTGGAACTTCTCCTTCAGAGCAGATTTAAGATTACGATGACAAACTACAGCTTGAAGTTCTGAATGAGAAGACATATGTAGAATATCATTTGAAAATGAAAATACACACTTAATTCCAAAAACAATAATCTTTAAAACACGTTGCTCTGTCTCTTAAGACATTAGTAAATGTTTCATTTATCCAGCAGCTTAAATCTTTAGAGAAATCCTCTTACTGCTCTGCAGACGGTCAGCCAGCTCCTCCTGCTTCATTTTCCTCAGGAACTTCAGTGTGATCTTCACAAATGCCTCTCTGCTGTTGCTCTTTCGACTTGCTAAGCACTCTGGGTAATCTGGACTCAGAACCTTCTGGATCTTCTTCAGCTCGTTCTTCACAAAAGTGATGATGTTGTCCTCCAGCAGCTGGAACAGAATATTTTATGAATGAGCCAATCAGACTGAAATCATGGAGCCAAACATCAGATCCATGTTGGACACACTTACAATCCAGTGGTCTACAAAGAGCAGCATGGAGAGGACTGTGAACACAATAGATGTAAAAGTAGTTGTTGTACATGTACAGACCATAAATATGGAGTCCAGGTGTGTTTGATGTTGCTGGGCAGACTGACCACTGGGAACCTCTGAGCTCTCCTCGTCCACTCTGTGGAGGAACCATGAAGAATCAGTTCAAGCACAAGATAAAGATCCAGTAGTTTCTGCTCAGGTAACTTCATCTGAATCAAGTTTGTCATGTTTTAAACTCTCAGATTGTGAAAATATCAGGCATCTTTCAGTGCTGATGGATGATGTTGCAGAAGCTCAGACTTCATTAAATTGAACAAATTAACTTAGTGGGAGGTAAAACTGATATACCATCAGCCACCTCTACAAGCAGTTCATTGCTCAAAGACCAGAACATTATCCCAGGTCTGCCCTCCACCACTATAACAACAGCTTTACCAACTGGGTAGATTAGTGTAGGACATGTGAGAAATACCTGTTGTGTCATTTTGTCACAAATCATCTGACGCCTCTGATTTTTTATAAAACAAACTGCATATTTAATGAATTTGTGAAAATTTTACCGTCATACTAACAATACAATTGAAATTTGGTTCCTTAGTCATCGATTCATAAGTTCAGGAAATTAGATGAGTTTTTCAGGGCAACCCTCCACACATTTAATCTCTATTGAAATCACTAAACAAATGTAACGTCTAGTCTAAAGGTCACAATCTGAAGATCAAATCTGTTTTTGTTCCCTGTGATTAAGTCTGAGCATCAGTATCCTGGGATTTATCCACTACATCCACACCACTGTTGTTCAGTGTTTTCCTGATGGAGGTCTCATTAACACCACCCAGTATTATTCGGGCTTTAGCTGCTTACACGTTACCCTGGGTCTCTTTGTGACCTCTCAGACTGTTTAACAGATCAGACACAAAGACATGAGAATCAGAGACAGAGCAGCTCTGCTCTTTAAAGGCAAACATGAATCCACTCAGTACACACTTTCCCCACAGATATGAGCATCACTGTCCTGAAACAGCAAATGACCAAGTCTGGCATTTTTATCTTTTTGTTTCATTGTTTTCTTTGTAAAAATCTGAGGATTTTTCAGCTCGTATTTATCCAGGAAAACGCAAACATCTAAAGGAGCTCATCACAGTTCTCTGACCTCGTTGGTCCAGGTTCATCACTGAAGTATGGAGGTTCATCTTTGGACAGGTCACTCCTCACAGACAGACAGCTGGATCCTGCAGACTGTGACCTCTGACCGCTGCAGGCACAAACATGCTTTATTCAATGATAAATTATCTGATGAAAGTCATTGAAGCAGCTCTGATCACACAGACTGCAGATAATGCAGCTGTTTCCTGTCAGTAACAGTGCTAAATCCTCTTAGATTAGAGTACAGCTTTTTATAGGAAAACAAATGTCCCTGAATGCAACAGTGAGAAACAGTCTGCCTCTGTGGCTGTGATAGCTGCCGTTAGGAGCGTTCATGTGTTTGCAGTTATACGAGGAGATGCACCATCATGGAAATGTTAACAAATCCTGCAGCATCACGTGGCACGCGCAAACAACTTCCACTGATCAGAGCGATGTCCTCTTTAAGGTCTGCAAACCTTAGTTTGCTTTCTAGAGCAGCGTATCATCCTCACAGAGCACAGCTGGCACGCTTGTTTCTGTTAGCTTAGCCACTAGGCTAAAGTCAAACTACCCACTGCTAGCAGCTGTTTCCATCATAGTTTAGGATCCAGATGTGTGAGCTCTAAATTTGCACCTGTGATTAAAATAAATAGTTAAAAACAGCCAATTGTGTCCAAATGTGTGTTAAAAGCAGATAAAATGACAGTTACACCTGTGCCTGTTTGTCCTTTGAGACACTACTCTCCTGCAGAGATGCATTTTAGAAACCAGTAAACATCAAAATCATTTAAATCAGACAAACTGACATCAGTTCATGTTATTGACAGCTCACCTCTCTGCAGCAGACACTTTAAAATCAACGAGACCACCTTTAGACGTGTTACTCCTTAAGGACACAAAGCTGGATGGAGGTCCAGGCTGGTTCCTGTGAATAATGATGGAGCAGTGATGCAAGTGCTGAGCTGTGACATGGAGAATAGTCATGGACAGTTAGAGATGGTCATCTCACCTCTGAGATTTGGTCTGGCTCTCACATTCCCCACACAGAATGGTTTTAGAGGGAGGGACTCCCTCCTCTCTGTCCTCACACTGATCCATGCTGCTCAATTTACATCCACATCAGCTCACAAACACTTTCTACCTTCACCTGCAGAGAAAACACAAATCATTCATGTGCACATCAACTGAAATCCTCCTTTCCATCATGTGTGCTGTCCAAATATCAACTCCTTCTTTCCTGCTTCATCTCAGTGTCAGCTGAGAGAATGACAAACCCACTATGTGTCAACATTTGATGGATGACGACACAGAAATGTGAAGTGATATTGACCTAAATGTGTCCTAATGATAATGAGAAGCTTTGATGAGTTGTGACTGTGTGAGGTGTTACTAGGATGTTAGCCCAGCCCTGAAATCTTTGCTATTTTCACTTGATAACAGAAGCTGTTGAAAGTTATTGAGTGTATCTGACAGTAAAGTGATGGATCCCGAAGCCATGTTGAAAATGTCTGATTTTCTCCTTAGTTATAGAGAAGGAACTGCTCATTTTTCTCTCTGCTGGGTCCTACCAATCAGAATATGACAAGTCCCAGAGGCAAACCCTTAGGAGATACGCCGCAAAATTCAGGCTGAAGGGTCAGTATTTTAATGTAAATAAATATCTAGATGTAATTATTGGTTAAATACATGTTATAATTAATTTACATGTTTTAAATCTAGGCAGGGAGCTCTTGTTAGGAAACAGGAGAGTGATAAGAACAAAAGAAGAAGCCATGGGACTATTTCAGGAGTTTCATTCAAGTCCTATTGGTGGACACACTGGTGTACTCAAGAATCGAAATGCAATATCTTCCAGATTTTACTGGTATGGCATCTAAGTTTACATTGGGAATTGGGTATGTATTTTTAAAGTTGTCATTTATAAAAACAAATGTATAGTATGTCAACAGTGCACAAAATGAATGCATAGTTATCCTGAAGACCTGTCCCAGATTTCAGGATGATGTATCGAGTATTTTTATAGAATATTTGTAATTATGTTGTTTAATTAATTGTGATTGTTGGATAATATAAATAAGAACATATAATATGTTTAAGGTCCTGGCTTGTGACCAGTGCCAAAAAATGGTAAAAAACCTTTGGCTGCTGTGCAACCACTGCAGTGTAATAAGGTTAATATCAGTAACATTTTAGTAGAAAATAGTAATGTTCTCATGTACATTATAAAAATGTGATTCTTTTATCAATGACAGGTGTCACATGTCTGGGAGCTAATTGGAATCTATCTAACTGGACCTCTTCCAAAAACATCCAGC